AATTTTCGCGTATATATTTCTACTCGAATGCGACCTTTCCTATTTCGCATTTTGCTTCTTTTCGAACAGTTTCTATTTCAGCTTTGAATTCTTGTTGAGAATGTTCTGGTGATACTGGCAATATCTTTCTGTCTTTGTTTCCTTTCGTCTTGTTTTTCTTCCAGTCGCCTGTATTTTTCTTCCTGTTCCTCTTTCAGTCTTCTGGTATTCTTCTTCGTGTCTGTCTTTGTCTCTTTTTTCGTTGGCAAGTTTCAAAAAATCAGCTTTATTTGATCTTACATTTCGGAGTTCCGTGTCTCGTTCTCACCATAGACGAACAAGAATTTCTTCACACGTTTATCCCACCTCTAACACCATTAATTGTTACCAGATACCTAAATGAGACTATTTTTCCAAAATTAGTATATCTTTATTGAAGACGAAAACCAAAATCGCAACACTTCGTTCAACCTAATCACAAAGCTAAATCACAACTTTCTGTCGAATCGCGTTTCATTAATTATTTGATTATCAACTTATTCGCGTACACTGATTATTGACACACTGAATTATTTTCATGCACGAATTTTTCAGTCATAAGTCAGTGTTGTCAGAAATGGTCAGAAAGTAGCGGGTAGATACTCACCTACACCTATGACCTCAATGGGTGACAGATCTACTTTAGGGATACGCCCCTGCCTACACTAGCCTTGATTTTATTTCACAAAACCATATAGGGAAACAATCGTCACATGCTCATTCCTTATCTAAACCCATAATTTCCTTTTCAATATCTGAACCCCACAACTCGCCAATCCGCTCAACAAGCAATAATGCCAAAACCTCCTAACATGGAAATATCGAGTACCTATCAATGCGAGAATATTCAAGGTGGCTAGAGTGAACCACTCAGAATTTCACACTGAGTAATCAGGCAACCTCAACGATTCTGGGGAAGGCAAATAATCGACTGAAACTACAGCGAAAGATAAAGCACAAAGGAGAACCAACTCATTTTATTTTCATAAAGGCACATACAACATACGAACTATGAGGACCCAAGAACACCTTGACACACAAAAACTAACCAACATCAAATGGGACATACTTGTCTTTTGCCAGGCGAGAAATGCACAATTTTTAAATGTCCACTTTATTTCAGAAAAATTTTAATGGAGAACAGTCACATAGGTGGAGTAGCACTCCTGATAAATTAAGGATTTTCCTACGAAATAACAAAATACTGTTCAATTTTTACCAGGGTCCTATACATTATAATCACTTTAAATCAAAGATTCAGAGGGCGGAGAAGCTGGAACCTTTTACAAAAATTTGATAAAGGTGAGAAGACAAGAAAAAACACAATTCGTAATAATTACGGAAGATTTCAACGCAAATATTGGAACAAACGAGAAGGGATACTCATAGTCCAAGAGCCGGCAATACTAACGGGTATGTGATCGTTGCAATGGATAATTTCTACATAAAACAATAGTTCATAGTAGCCTTTAAACCAAATGGATGGGTTGCCTTGATTTTCATGGCCGTGAAGTTGTTTTATAAAAAGATACTTTTATAAATAGAACAAAACCATAAGCGCAACAAATAAGAAAGTACCTTGCGGTGTAGGGGGTTCTCATCATATGCGGCAAACACTTTATTAACACAATTTCAGTAACAGCACTAAATAAATTTTATACCGGAAGCGATCACAGATAAGTACGAGAGAAGATCAAGATACACATGAGAACAGAACCAGAACAGAACACAACAAACTCATCGAGCAAGAACGCTACCTAACCACGGAAACCCTGATACAAAAACAAATCGGATATCAAAATTAATCAGAAACAAGACTAACACTAATAGAGACAATAAAAAACATGAAAGTCCTAAAAACAAAAAACCTCAAGAGGCAAAACAAGAATAATAAAAATAAAAAACAAGAAAAACGCGACCGTTCAAGACAGAAAGAAAATAAGCAAAGCCATGGAATAATTTTATACCAAGCTATACTCGCCACCTCGCCACACATACAACAACAACGAAATGGAAGAACTATACCTACTTAACATAGGCTCAGAAGAAATACCAGAAATAACGCACTCCAGAATAGGAAAAGGCCTTAACCAATTAAAAACCACTACATGTGCGGGAGAGGACAAAATTACAGTAGAAACGCTGAAAATTGGCAGCGGAAAAATAGAACTTATACTGAAGATTCTTGATAAAATAATTGATGAAGGAAAGATCCCATAAGAAGTTATCTTAATATTCAAGAAAGGAGGCAATACAAGTGTTGAAAACTATCAACCAATATCTTTACTATCACACCTCTACAAGCTGTTTACCAGAATCATAACCAACCGCATGACAAATAAACTGGGCTTCTACCAACCTGGGGAACAGGCTGGATTCAGAAAACACTTTAGCATCACAGATCATCTACACAATAGAACACTAATAGAGAAGTGCACCGAGTATAACGTGTTCGTTTCAAGATACACGAACATCATAAAGAATATATACTATATGAAAATGCAACTAAGTATACAACCATACCTAAAACTAAAAAGGGGAGTGAGGCAAGGAGACACTGACTATCTCGCCCAAACTTTTCACTCTTGTCTTGGAGGAATTTCACAAGAAGCTAAAATTGGATACCAAAGGTACATATAAACGTAGACGGAGTAGGTATACTTAGACCATCTCAGATTTGCTGATGACATAGTTCTAATAGCAAAAAGTAACCAAGAGTTGAACAAAATGCTATAACAGCTAAATGACGTATCCGCAACTGTAGATCTTAAAAAGAACTAGAGCAAAACAAAAATAATGAGTCAGTAACAGACAAATATAACAAAACCGAACTTCGAACACTATAATGACATCAGAAAAACGAAACCAGGATACTGAAATAAAAAGAACACATTCCCACAAACCTAAAAGGAGACTAAGTACCTACGTGATACTTGCATAGCATATTACCGGATTAGAGACCATGTTCCTCATCAAAAAGTTCGCTAAAAAATTAGAAACTACCCAGAAAGCGATGGAAAGAAACATGCTTGGAATATCATTCAAGTCAATTCAATTCAATTCAAATAGTTTATTTATCAAAAAAAGTTACAATATCGGTAATGGTAGGTATACAATTGAGATTGATAAATAAAACAGGCATTAGCACAGAAGCAAAGCAACATTCCTTATAAATATATTTCATCTCACATTAAGTATTGAAAGTCACATTCGGCGGTTTTTTTTTTTTCACTTTAAGTATATTAGGTATCATATTTTGGATAAAGCGTCACATTCTGGATATATTATCACATTTTGGATTTTTTGTCACAGATCAGGAAAAATTGTCACACAAACGGGTTATCTAAATTTCACACTTTTGTAATGATTTTTTTTTGTCTCTTTCCGATTCATATAAACTCAATTTTATAAATATACATTATATGTTAGAACAAGTAAATACTGTTTATTCACTACTACTTATTAAGAGACATAATTAGGAACACCGAGATAATACGCAAAACGAAAGCCAGGGACCTTGTGGAGGAGGTAGTACAGATGAGATGGCGATGGGCTGGCCACATAGCCAGATACTGTGACGACAGATGGACACGACAAATCCTGGAATGATGACCAAAGAAAGACAACAAGAAGCACAGGAAGACCTCAGAAAAAAAAAAGATGGATGACATAAGGACACCGGCAGGCAAACAGTGGATGAGATTGGCGAAGGATAGATAAAGATGGAAACATTTAGGAGAGTACATCCTACATCCAAATCCAAGAGTGGGCGGATAGAGGTTGACAAAAAAGAGAGGAAGAGGCAGTGTTGCAAGATTTGCACTGGTTCTTCTTCATTATCATTTTTACTTTGTCAATGAATATTTACTTCACACCAAATGAGGCTTATTAAATTGGCTTCTATATTAAAATTTATCAATACATTTCCATGCTTGCTACAAAGTTTGCGTTTATTTTCCACTAAAAATCCTTGTGACAAATTTATTATTGTTATTCTTACACGTTTCACTTGTGTGTAATCATTATGGAATTGTTTTCTTCAATGGGGCATATTCTAAAGGTTTCAGAAAAAACCATTCGGGATCAAACTCATGGCGATGACAACAACAATTATTATTAAGGCGACAAACGGCAAAACAAGACCAGTTTATTGTTATTGAACTCATTACGACTGCATTATAAGTATTTATCGTTTTCCGAAGCTATAAATAAAAACAAATCCGATGAGGGGCGGCATACCAGGAAATATCACAGGAGTATTTATAGAATTGAAAAATTGTTATGTATTTTATAAAACGGCTAGACGTTGTTTACTATGTGACATTTTGTTATTTATATTAATAATTTTTATCAGTAACGGGAACGAGAAGACATCCCAATGATTGGAAAAGAGTCAATTTTGTTTACCTAATTGGAAGATTAATATGTTGTATGGTGAATGGCGCCAACCCAACATTTTTGACTATCTGGAAATTAGACTTATTAATGTACCAAAAAAAAATTACATTGTAACGTTAAAATACATAAATAGATACATTGTAGAATTTTATATCATATGCACTACATATTGTGTCTTCTAGCAATCCGCTAGTTTTTTTCACTAGCTATATTTCAATTGACGCCGCCAAGCTTGAAATTTGATTTTCTCTAACCAGAAATTCGATATACCTGACTCTTTTTTGAGGAATTTCATCTTATCAATAACTCAAATATTCTCATCTGAAAGAAACTGTTTATTTAATTTGAAAAAATTGTACCCAGATTCCCATCAGATGCTCCAATAACTAGATGCGAATAATTAAAGGGAAACGATGGTTATAATAAAGACAACTTTTCATGTCTGCGCATTTTTACTTGAATCAATTAATATGGTAATGCGGCATGCCAAAAAATTGACACCAGTTGAAAGATTAATAATTAACAAACTGGATACATCGGGGGTGGTCTTTCCAGATAAAAGGGCAATCTTGGCTCCGATATGCCTCACAAGCCCCTTGCAGCTTCAACAAGCACATCCTAGCCTAGCAGCAGAACTCATCAAATTGTAAGTAACAAATTTCATTATTAATTTTAATTTTAATGTTGTTGCAAATTCAAGTTTTTGCCTATCGGGTAGATGATCGGATATAATAGAGCGCTCAAATTATCTATTCAAGTTGGTTTTATAATCAAAACGAACGCGTCCAAACTAAATTGAAGCCTCAATTAGAGTTATTTTCTAATGCTATAAGCACCAGCCAGACACAACTTGAATTAGAACAAACAATTTAAGTAGGTATGATTTAGAGTAATTTTCTGAGATTCACTTACAGTGTGCCTAAACTATCTAAACACGTCATTATTGTATTATTTTACTTTCGATTTTTATCTTCGCGAATTTTCTAGAAGTCTAGCCAAATTTCAGTAGCTTTTCCTGCTAAAATATCAAACGATAATTATTTCCTGTATGGTCATGAGACTTTGTGGAATCATTGTATCGTTGTAGCTGTGAATCATTTAAATGCCGGCACAAGTCTGGGCTAATTCAAACACATTATACAATACTTGTTTGATGTGATTCAATTTGTTTTATATCCGATTTGAGCAAAAGCCAATTTGGTGACAGCCGTTCTCAGTATTTGAGCAATTTGGCAACAATATAGAATTTTTTTCGACATACAAATTCTTACCTGGCAACTTCCTTATAATATGCCTCAGCCATCTCACCGGGTACTTGTAGTTGGCGGATATCAGAAGAGGCAGTACCAAAAAGGAGTAGGTGGTTAAGAACCAACTTCCAAAGATAAGCAATATTGGAGTATGGCCTCTTGAGCAATACGGTAGAAGGAAGAGAACGGAAAGTAGACAAACTGAAAAAAAATAATCAGTAATTATAATATTGATCTTGCAGCTCCTATTAACACCAATGACAGACATCTTATCTTTAAGCGCCATGACAAACATGAGTGATAGAATCCAATGTACGATTACGTAGAAATTTCCAAAAATATTTACTTAAGTACCTAACTTAAAGTAAATATTTTCATTTTGCTTTAGTGACTCTATGAAGTCTCTATCGTTATGTAAATCTTATTTGATTATTAAAATTAATTATGGCTAGCCAAATTCAAAAATATTGATTTACAATTATTTTTATCCCGAAGATTTTAGGTACCTAATTACCATGTTTCTAAGAAAATTTAATTATTTAAATGCAATTTTAATTAAATGAATCGTTAAGGAATGCTGTTGAGGGGTTCAGCGATATCGTTGAATAAATATTTTTGGGTTTTTGTGTTTGTCCACTTCGGGTGCAACAGGTCCAAAACTTGAATTTTTGGTAAATATTTTGTACGTATTATTATTGATTTAATATAACAGTCTTTGTTTATTTATTTAACAATTTGTCTCACTCTTTTCAAGAACATATTAGGTAGGTAGGTACATTATCTAACTTCTTGTATTCATGCATTTCTTATGCAATCTTCTTTTTCACTTCTTGCAAGTTTGGCTTCTGCAAATTGCTCCACTTACTCTTTATTAATGAACTTTGTATTTAATCGATGATAAGCTTTGTTATTTATTTTGATTCTTTCCTTTCATAATTTTCTGATTATGTTTTTGAGTAAATAGGTACCTAGGTACCTACTTTTCTTCTTCTTCCACTAATTATTACCTATTACTTTGTTTTTTTTACTCTTATTCTGTTTTCTCTCAACTTATAACTAAATATATTTCTATCTTAGAAGGCCTTATTCCAATAAGTTGCAATTTAGGAATTTCTATATCACATTAAACTTTTTGTTTTTTTGTGTTATTTAAATTCCTTAATTATCTTAGCCATGAACACGCACTGTGTCAATTGTATATTTTTAAAAATATTAATATTAATGGAAAATATATTAGCGTTTGACACACACAATAGTGTTCCAAATTCGGGCTCTATTATAATTAGAATTGGTAACTTAAAAATAGGCTGTACTGTATAATCCACTTAAATTTGGTTAAAGTCGTTTAGGCTTTTATAGTTTGTCGTTTAATAGAATGCTATTATTATTAAAAAGTGAAAATATGCAAGTGTTTATTTTGGCATGGCAGCAGTTTCATCAACAAACAAATAACTAACCAGTTTCTGCTATTTTTTCTTCTCTAACTTTTTCATCCAGCTTGGGCAGGGTGTGTAGACTGCGTAATCTACCCCTGACTCTCGTTATCATTCCCATTTTTCAATTTGTTCACACAAAAAAAATATCACTTGGTCACTAAATGGGATATTTGTGGACACTGGACACTGGATTTGGCGAGCGTCGACGATGTACTACGAATTTTCATTCATGTGATCGTTTTTTTTTCCTCAGGCCGAGCCCCCACTGAAAATGCGTTGTTTTCCTTTTGTTTTTCGCCAATTTTCTATAGAGTGACTCAGTTTCAATTTTACTTTTTCGAATCTGAATTATTTCTAGAATATTTTGACCAAGTTACAAATATAATTTTCGTAGTTATTTACACACATACCTACAAACCACATGGAGATATCAAAATGAATATTGTTATAAGGAAGGCCAAAAATCTTAGATGAAAAGAGAAAGAAAGCAAAGAAGACTCAAAAACAACAAATGATAAATTAGGAGATATGGCTAGTGGTGAAACAGAGGAAACAACTGAGGAAAAGGGTTCAGAAACTACAATTGTTCTCAAAAATGAACTTGATAATTTGAATGGCAAAAAATCCTAGAAGCCTATGAAACACATACAAAGGATAATAAAGTAATTAATTAGACAGGCACGTCAAATGCAAAAGAAACAATTCTGCTGAGTAAGATAACAAATTGAATGAAAAACCTGATTTTTACAGATCTGATACAGTAGTAAAATCAGAAATTATTGAAAAGAATATTCCACATTCACATGAAAGCTCCACTGATTTAGAAGCAGCTTATCAAGACGGCAAAGATGACAATAATAATACAAGCAAAGACGAAATTGATTTAAAAAAGGATGTTAGAACTGCAGGCGAAAAAATGCTAAGTACTAGGCCTTAAATAGATACAACTCAAGAGTCTACTATAGAGAAAACTAAGTTTGACTCAATGATGCCTGTAGATACAGTTTTAAGGCATCTTCCTGAAGTACCTACAGAAGACATTCCTAAAACTATTGTGCAAAAGAACTTGGAAAATATAAAACAAAACACTGAAGTTTCAGAAGGTGCCAAACAATTGAATGACAAAAATAACGGAATCGATTCTCAAATAAGTCAAAACAGAACCTTTAATAACGATGATAGTAGTGGTTTATTAGAAATGGCCACCGATGAGGTGAGTAGCATAGGTTCAATGGATTCCACTGTCACAGTTATACTTAAATCCAAACAAGATAAAGATGCTATCAACTAGCGCAATAGAAGATCGTGTGGTGCTTCTAGATCAAGTCCAAAATGCGTTAGCGAATCAACTATCAGGAAAACCTGTACATACAAAAAGTAAATTTGACATACTTAAATCAATTGCGTAAGGAATTACGCTTCTACAATGTATACCAGTGAAGATCCTGAAAATTACAATAATCATGAAGTAATGGACTATTTATATGATTATGAGCCGGAAGATGGAGCGATTCCAGAATGGTTAGAACTCCTTTGAGATAATTGCCGGATATTGCTAAAGAAATTGAAAGCAGAGAAGAAGATGGATTTTGTGGCGCTGTTTTATTTAGTGCTGACATAGAATTTTTGAGGCTTCATAAGTCCAGAAACGCAAAATCTCCATTTCCATTCTTATCATTTTCAGCAATTTGTATCTTGAAATTTATTTCGTTTTGCGATGGACTTTGTTCATGATTTTGTGCAAGAAATCAATCTACGAAGGGACGACATTAGTGATGTCAGTTCTTCTGTGTATAAATTTATTCCTTACGTCTCTTAGGATCAAACCTCTGATCTCTCCACCTTTCTTTGCATTATTATAAGCTTCTTCAAATGCAGTTGTAGACTTCAAAGTCTGGGACTGAGGAAACAATTTGTTCTATACTTATAAGAATAAAAAATATTGATAATTTAGCTTTTCAATTTAATGTCTAATTGTTTCTGGAGAACTCATTCTGTGATATTTTCGCTTTGAACATGGCTGGTCATGAACTTCATTTGTGACATGTTGATGCGTTTAGACCAACTCTGGCTCATATTTCTGACAACTTCAGCTAAATCGGTTTCAACTCTATCAGAAATCAGCACAATATCATCCATTCTATGTGAATGCTTTTTTTCAGAACTTCTGCTGAACCAGATGTATCGCTAGTTGATTCCAGTGCAAAAGATCGTCCACCCACTGTATTTCTGCTTTTTTTCTTTATTTTTCTAACCTGTTTTCCTTCAACTCTTCTCCTGACGTACAGATGTCTACCCTAAGTTCTGTTTGAATCAGTGTTCAATCTCGTATTTTATGCAAGTTTTTTTGTCCACCTTGTCTGTTTATTCCAGTTTTTTTTTTCGTTGTCTCATCCATCTTCCTATGTCTTGTCTCTTACTCTGTTGTCGGAGATCCTCGCTTTGAATTCTGCCGTCTAATGTTTTTCTGGGAGTTTCTCATTGATAGATTGATTGATTTGAAAGAGGAGCCTTTACAGGTCATACCATAACTTTAAACCATGTAATTCTTAGATTTCTCACTGGTTTGAAGGTTCGAAAATATCATAGTATACATATTTCGGTGGAAAGTTTTCACAATTATTGTCTCGAGAATTGGTTGACCGAGGTACCAAGCGCCAAATATCTCTCGACAATAATGAAACACTTTTCATCTCCACATGTAATATACTATTTCATCACAAAGCTTTCTTCATTGACTGTTTCTCAGTAAAATCATCAATCACATCATCATAATATTTATTTCTTTTTATGTCGGATTCCAAAGACAAAATGAATCGGGCGTTTAGGCGTTCTTGTTTCATAGTCGAACTGAAATTACTTCTTATTCCTGATAACTTTTAAAATGATCCGAGAAGAAGTATCAGCGACTGGTATTGACAAATAAGTAAACTCGTAATGCGATGTTGAAATTGGGAAATGCTCTCCCTAATCCATTTTTTTTTAAATCATCATCTTTGAAATGCTTCTTTATATGAAATCAATACATTCGTCAGGAAATGAAACATTTAAATTCATTTTGTAAATTTCTATAAGCTTCCAAGCTTTTCCAATTATTTTTGTTTTGTTTGCTTGCAGAACATAAATTCACAAATATAGATAAGTTAGACAGCCTTTGGCGAGGTTCTAGATCTCTGATAAAGCCGGGTTGAGAAGGTCCAATAAATGCTTGGTCCAAGTGTGCTTGAATGACAACTTGGGCCAAGTAAGTCAGCCTACTTACTTGGATGTTAAAACCCATCCAACTGGACTTGAATTAAACAGTTGATACGATCCAAGTATTGCAAGTATCGTCCGAGTGAAGTGTGCGCAGCGTCCCAAGGGCATGTACTTGATTCAGGTACACTTGAACCGTGTCGACCTGGCTTTAAGCTTGGTTGACACAGTCTAAGTGTACTTGGATCAAATATCCTTGGAGGCTGCGCGCGCCTGTTAGATAATACTACTTGGATCGTATCAACTGCCGGGTTGACAACTTGGACCAAGTAAGTTGGCAGCCAGCCTACTTATTTGGATGTTAGAACATATCCAACTGGACTAGGATAAAGCAGTGCAACAGGTATTGTCCAAGTGAGGCGCATGCATAGCGAACAAGGGTACTTGATCCAAGTACACTTAGACCGTGTGCTTTATCCAAGTCCAGTTGGGTAGGTTTCAATATCCAACTAAGTGATCTGGCTGCCAACTAACTTGGTCCAAGTGCACTTGGACTGTGTCAACCTGGTTTAAGGGTATTGAGGATGACATAAAATGTCCCGATTTTTATTTCATCTCTGGCTGAAAACTGTCATTCATGACCAACACTGTCATCAAACTGAACCCTTCATTTTCGCTCTCTGCTTTCTTTATAATAGGTACCTATGCCTTTTCCCCATTTTGTAGAATATGTTTAGCTTCTTCTTTGTAAATTGCAAGATTGTTCCTTAATTGAGTTCAAATTTGTAATTTTTTATTGTTAATCGAATTTTTATTCGATCAGATAAAATCGCATCCTATAATAATTTTTGCTGTCCCCTATAGGCTGCAGCCCTAGGCAGCTGCCAATAGTGCCTAATGGAAAACACGGCATTGTTGCCCATTGTGCTATCCCCCTTTTGGTGCAGCCCTCTCTTACCTTAGGAGCCCGAAACTTTTGAGAAAGGTAGGTGCAGACCCGCTTAGGTCGGACATGCTTTAGTTCATCAGGTTCCACAAACCTATACCAAGAATTCGTAGTCACAATCGCAGACTAAGCTTGATAGTTTACTGCTACTTGGCTGCAGAATCTGCATTTCTTTAAATGGTATGTTTCTCATTACAGTCCTATATCATTACAGTCCCGTATTTTCTTGAGTATTTATATCCATCTTTTCTGTGAATCTTTTCCATAATCCTTCTTCTTATTCTAGCTCCTCTTTGATAGAATTTTGAATCGTGTTTTCAATTTGAGTGGACATGAATCGATAGTTCTCTAATTCGGCTTTATCTCTTTGCTTCTGAAGTAAAATCAAGATGAAATTAGGAACTAGCTGATGTCACACACATAATCTCACAATGACATTTTTGTCCCCCTATCGAAAGTGACGTTATATGAGTTTTGACGTAATAGCTAACGCCTGCGTGTAAAATTAGACCTTCGAACGGTTTGTTTTTCCCCCCATCGAAAGTCGAATGTGAGTTTGTGTGTGACGTCAGCCAGTGCCTAATTGCCTTATTGGTTTAAATGGTTTGGAAGTTATATGCAGAAGTAGAAATTTCAATCATTTGAAAAATATTATCACGACAATGTTTTGTTAAAAAAAAGGTTTAGCTTAGGTGTCACCTATTATCTCACTCACCTCTTGGTGGTCAATGTTTTCGTCATTCCATCTCTACCACCTCCAAATCTGATAAACTCCTTCTTCAACATCATATTCATCATCTTCCGTATGAAATTTTGCGCTTCTGCATTATTTGTACTCTCTTTAGTGTTGCCATAGCTGGTAATGAGATATTTATCCATTGGGTGCATGGCAAAGAAGTTCTGTGCAGGATCTCACTTGTAACTTCAATACACTTTTATAGAAGTGAATTTGAATTTTTGGAAAAGGACAGTTGAAA